TTAAACAAAATTTTTACAAACATTTTCAAATAAAAGAATCCTCACCCTCCCGAGCCTCATTACATTGTCATTTTGCTTTCTAACAAAAATATTTTTCTTTAGAGATTAATGCAAGAATGGTGAATAAATGTACTGGATATTGGCTGGATAATTTTGTCCGAACAACCCACTTGCAAGACAATCTTACCTAAATTCATTAGTATGGAAAATAACTTAACAGCTACAATGAATAATCATATATTATATGGTGGATTTGATCAATGGCACACAATGTACAAAACTAAACTTGTGATACCTTCTACTCAAACCGATAATCTCCCACAACACAATTGTTTTTGTGTGAATGTGCTGTACGTGTTAAACCGAACAGTGTGGTATATCATTAACCATGCACAGAACTGGAATTTAATTATATACTTCACTCATGACCTTCAAAACATTCTCAATTATTCAGTGGTCTTCGACATGTTCACCAAATATTTTGTGTATGTTACTCAACAGTTAACATTGGCAAGTGTAAACAACAAGTGACATAACTTTTGCTTCATATGATTACAATAAAGTTTTGAAAATTTGATGAGTATGGATTGAATTGGGTCATTCCAGAAAACATACATACCGCCCCTACGGAGGAAATAGGAAGTTAACCCCCCTACCCCCTGCGGATGTCCTAATACAATTACTATTATCAGAAACAATTTTTTCTCCCCTCCCCCTCCGGACGGCAGAAATTTCCTCCGTGGGGAGAGTATGGATCTTTTCTGGAACGACCCATTGACAGGTGACAGTTTACTAAATAGCCGGCTGTATAGACACTTTGAATATTGTTTGCATGAAATTTTTACTCCCTGACTGCATAATTATCTGTTACAATCATAATCACATTACAAAGTTAGTTAAATTTTCTCGGTGCGGGGGTGGTGGGGGAACACTTGCCATGTCATCTTCATTTAGTTAATTATTCAGTTTCTTTTAAGAAAATACAAAATGTGAATCAAGTTTTTTCGCAGATACATGTACGCGTCGCGTACCTATTTTTATCGTTTCTTGCAATTACATTTTGTGTTTTTTTCTATTGTTTTATACAAAGTGTTCTACTGTGCAAGGTGTATGCATTTATCAATGATCAAATAAATTTTAATCAATAAATATGGCAGATTGTTTTTTCCACACAAGGGGTTTCAGGACTTTGGAAATTCCAGGAGGGGGGGGGGGATTTGGGGTTAAATTAAGTTCAAACCCAGTAATTTTAGCATTTCCAGGGAAGGGGATTTTGTGTTATTTGGAAATTCCAGGGTTGGAAATTCCAGGGATGGGGGTTCTTTTCTTATAAAATCATTGTTCTCAACTTCTCAGCCCCCTGTGGGGAAAAAATGCAATTTGCCATTATAAAATATGATACCTCACTTATAGTTTTAATCTGCCATTTTGGTTTTAAAATACAGTAATTACAGTGAACTTTTAAAATGCACCAATCAATTTGGGGGTGACCACCCCTTCCCCTGTTGACATGGATTTAGCGATTTGCCATTAAACATGTTATCAAGAGGTGGTTATGATATTTGGTATAAGTAAAATTCATTGTGGTGTGACATTTGATCCCCCCTCCCTAATATGGTGCAGGGGATTTTATGTACAAAATATTTTGTTGACCTGAATAAGTTGACATAATTGTTTTGTTTTTGGAAACACCACAAATGATTTATTTTGCAATCCACAAGCTCGGATGCTCATCAGTGCAAATATAATATATTTACAGTCAAAAGCTCTGCAAAATGTTTCCATATTAAAACCATTATATTATTATTTATCAACATGCAAACCAACAAAGAACTTTATGACATGAAGTTCCTGACTCAATGTTTGTGTTAGTTTGCATGGCAGACTTTCTACACTTGCTTGAGTCACTACCTCTGAGCCACTACCTGCCTTTGGGCTTCCAAAGTACTCAATTACCCCTAACTGTGTGGAAAAAGCAATCTGCCATATTTATTGATTAAAATTGATTTGATCATTGATAAATGTATACACCCTTGAACAGTAGAACACTGTGTATAGAAATAATAGAAAAACCACAAAATGTAAATGCAAAAAAAAACACGATAAAAATATCGAGAAATTTCACAAATATTCAATCATGCGATTTTAATATTTTATAGTGTATATCAGTTGTATATAAAACCACATAAAACTTGTTGACTCATGAGCCAGTACTATTAAACGTACTAGCCGCAGTACCTGAAACATCAATTGAGTCGGTTCTTCGATTAAAATCTTCGCTTTTGCTTTTTTGATGTCTTATGTTATTGTTTGTCTCTTTAAATTCAGTCCAAAATGCGGTTTACCGAATTATCGAAGTGGTATTTCCGTCGCATTTCTTGCGGTAAATAAATGAAGGTAAGTTGCTTAGCAACTGATGGCCGCCATCTTGGATCAGGCTTGGTTACAAGGCAAATTCGAAAAAAGTGAGCCCAAAATATTATTCTGCTCGCCGCACACGGAAAGATTTTGGCACGCGAGGCAGAAATTATCAAACATGTTTGATATTTGGCGTAAGTGGCACGAATGACAAAAGTTGTTCGTAAATCGCCCGCACACGAGAGCTATCTCCTTACGCCAATGGCGAATGAAATTTGGCTAAGCACATAGCTCCAGTGTGCGCCGGCCTTTAGGGAAACATATGGGCGAGAATATAATATGCCAACAAAAGATCATATTTCAAAACGCTATAGGGCTTCTGAGATCAAGGTGGAAATTGAAACAGAAAGCGAACAAACATACGAGCCTATTTTGAACGTTGGAGATGAAAATATCGAAGAAAGCGAGCGTCGTAAACAGTTTATGATCGAGGCATAAGAGGACGAAGGGCGAAGACATTTATCGCAACTAGACGATGCAACCGCAGAGGATTTATACAACTTTGATGTGTCTGTTGCTCTAACGGAAATACTGTTAGACGAAACAGACGCTGAATTCACCGAAGCTATACAAGAAATTGATGGCGAGAGGGTTTTTCCTTTTAGTCAGTGAGAGATAGTGTGCAAGTCTACAAAGTAAAGGGAGAGACAAAACTCTTGCTGCGTTGACTATTAGAGGACGTGGTTTGATTATATTACATCGATTCAGGTCAGTTTGGCTACTGTTTCCTCTACTGATGCTTTGTTCGATGCTTTGCATGGCCACTTTACACAACATTCTGTCCAAGGAACAATCAAGATAAACTTTTAGAATGTTTTTCTATGGCTTGATTCCTCGTTTGTGTGAGCAGCTATAAAATTGTGAGAACTATAAAGTAGCAAATATATTCCTGAGCATATTTGATCGGATTTTTATAAAACACTACACCAGCAAAATGTCGGCATTGTTGGAAAATGCTGTGATTTTTCGTGAAGTTCAACCCTCGAACTCTGCACAGAAACTGTACGGAAAATATAGTTAAACTTTATTTAACAGTCGGAGCATTTTCCTACACCAGAGACTTTATTACTATTAAAGATGCAGCATGTACAGTCCAATCTATGCATGTGCACAAAGGAGCCCTCTTTTTATTTACAAACAGTTTATTTAGGTTTTTATTTCATTTTATGTTCTTGCAAAGCTTGATTGCTGTCTCTTGATAATTTCTAGAATCATGAAAATATAACTAGTTGTGGAATAAAATTCAATATTTTGGATACCGAAATGTAAACAAAGCAACTTTAAAGTATAGCATTAATTAATGAAAGGCAGTCAAAGAAAAGGCATTGAGTGATTGAGAAAGGGGATGGGATAACATATAAAACTTGATAAACTTCTTAATTGTTAAAGATTGTCAGAAGTTCAGAACACTGTTTCCATAATTCAATAATTTTACATATATTATACAATAATTATATTGTTTTTAATTAAACCTTATTGGCTGGTCGAAATAGAAGTGATTTGATTATGGTAATCTGCCACCATTCCGTACAGCCCTGCCCCACAGTAGGCGGATCACACCACACTAAGGGGACGATTACATGGAGCACTTTTAACCACAGGTTTGAAGTCAACCATGTTTACATAACTGGGTTGAATATTTTGCGATTACATGGACAATCTCAACCCCAGGGTTGAAATGCTATACATTCCCGGAAGTGAAAACAAAAACCAGCCTCATCAAATGCTTGAGTAACTCATGAATAATTTCAGCCCTGGGTTGAAACGATTACATGATAAAATTTTCAACCCAAGGCGAAGTCCAACCTGGGGTTGAAATTTAACTCTGCTAGCTGAAGCGGGGTTGAACTTGGCCCTGAATTGAACATTTTGAAATCATGCATGTGATTTTGATAGCATTTTGTATTACAGACAAGGGCGAGGGTTCAGCCCAGGCCTCTGTAGACAAACTCACAATCCGAGTGTTGTTTTGCGATAAATGTATTTCTAACTAAAAAACTTTTACAACAACAACATGTTATATGTCATGCAAATTTGAATAAATCTAAATAACCTAAATTATCTATTGTCCTAAATTGAATATAAACCAACTAATGTCAAAAACACTATTAATTAACGACCTATTAATGACAGCCTCGTAGGTCCCAACTGTAGGCCTGTAGGTCCCAACTGTAGATCTGTAGGAGACAACCCCAGGGTTGAAAATGCTCCATGTAATCAGCCCCTAATTAACCCATTAAAACTTTGATGTACCCTGATTTGACTTTATTTCTGTTGAATACCAGATAATATAATATCATGGCCTTTAATTCACCAATCTTGGTATGAAAATCGAGTGACCACAAAAAATATTTACATGCAATATACCACTTTTGGAACAAAACAAGCATAGACCATTTTCATATGATAGTGAAAAACTTAAAGATTTTATTTGCATTTTAAATCGCTTTTTGAGCCTTGGACCTCCTAGGTTATCTTGAATTTCTTCTACTTTCCATATTTGCATATTATCTCTAAATCTGCCATCAGTTTTAATTTCAATACTGGACACACCAGCCACATCGCCAGCCACTGAACTAACGTGTGTAATTTGAAGCTTGTAGGTTGTTTATCTGGTATTTATACGTTGAGAATGCGACGCTCAGCCTTGGGAACTTCGTGTTTATTGTAGGTAAATTTTCAGTGGTACGCTACCAGTTATAAAATCTTTCGTTTGGAGTCTACAGAAGATAGATATTTAATAGACATGAGATATGTAAATATGCAAATACAATGCCCTCTTTGTTTACATCTGATCACACAAGCGCATGCATAAAATGCAAAATTTACAATGGCTTCAAATGACGCTCACAAAGGAAAATCTTATTTGTTTCTGAAGATCTACCGTCTTTTCTCTAGTCCTTTAAAAGAATTCGAAGCCATTCTTCGCGAGCATTTCTCTTCTTGTTCACCATCGGCTGTAGTCTCCTACGCAGACTACATCGGCTGCGCCAACAACAGGGATTTTAAAAATTGCAAATTCACGCGTTCTGCTGGTCGGACAGCCATACAAAGCACAATTAGAGCCAACCATACTGTTCAATATTACTTCAAACGTTTAACCGTATCCTGACATACTATAAAAACAACGGCAAAAATACAATTATCCAAACGCGGTGTATAAACAAAGCCTTCGTCCCCCCGATCATAAACTGTTCACGACGCTCGCTTTCTTCGATATTTTCATCTCCAACGTTCAAAATAGGTTCGTATGTTTGTTCGCTTTCTGTTTCAATTTCCATCTTGATCTCAGAAGCCCTCTAGCGCTTTGAAATATGATCTTTTGTTGGCATATTATGTTCTCACTCATATGTTTCCCTAATCACTCATCACAAAGCACCCCCTTTCCTCGTCACGTGACCAAAAATAAAAATGAACAATAACATATTTGTCACGTGGTCCAGCTAGCCTAACCATCTAGTTCTATTAACCGTGATTCGACATTATCGACAGACGAAATTACATTTTAAAAATTTCGAGCATTTCTATTCACTTGGTATACTTTATCTCGAACAGAGTCTCATACCAATGGCAGAATTAGAAAAATGTAAAAGATATTAGTTCTTGTCAGGGCCAGGTCAGGTTGCAATCCAAAATTATCACTAGTACGATTATTTATCAAGCATGTATGGAATGCGATATATAGTCTATCAAATATAAAAATGCCTCTATGTAGTACATATGTTTGTTATTGAATGATTCGAATATGAAGATAGTTTCATTTGTTCTGTCATCCTTTCGTTTATACAAATCTTGCTATATAATAATATTGCCCAGCACATACTCGAGAGAAGAATTAAAACACCAAAACATTTACATGTATACATCACACGAATAGAATCTCAGAAGAAATCACATATAAGTAACATTTACCTGCATTACTAACAGCTGCCATCAGCTTTCGAAGGAAGATATCCTGAAATGTCAATAATATATCACAAATAAGTAACAATGTTCCCAAATCGTCCTTGTAGGTCAGGCAATAGAGCATGCATGGTTCTAGAATTGCGAACTTTGCGGTTTCGATTTCCAGCCGTGGCCAAGAAGGATTTTATGTTTCCTCTCCTCATACTCATAAAGAAGAATCAATTACCAGAACATTTAAATTACACAACCCAGTTGAAATTGTAAGTCATTTTGATGCACAATAATTGTCATAGCTACAGAAAGTGCCACAATTACAATATTCGAACTTCTGCGAAGCGATGTTCCCGGAATATGTAGGCCTATAGCAATTTGGCTTACAAAGAATTTCGTTTGACAAATAATAATCATAATCATATGGAATAATACTGATTTAGAGATATTGGAAGGACATAGATGCATCTTCCTAATATTTTAATTGGTCATAGTAAGCATGGTTCTTCGACACAATAATAATACAGAACCGTTTGTCATATAGGGATTTGTTATATACAGGGTGTATAAAAAAAGGTAATCGAACTTCAGCGCGCTATTATACGTGAATTACTCGGCGTATGAACAACTGGTTTTCATATTCGGAAAGATCAGGCTTTTAGCTATTGAATGACATGCTTTTCATGCCAAGTGGAGAAAAAATAAGCATGTACGAGGCCGATTAAAAATGTTAGTCAAAATCGCATATTTTCACCTCTGTGCCTAATTAAAACAATGCATAACAAAAGAAAAAGCAATTAATCACGAACGTGTCGTAGCTTAGCTAAGATTTATTCCTACTTAATAATAATTATGAATATGTGTGCAGTTTAATGAAGTGAAATTCATCAACTTAAGTCCTAAAGGGGTTTCATTTTCAATGGTTTTAGACCCAACTCTCAACGGTGAAAATATGCGATTCTGACTAGCATTTTTTATCGGATTCATATTTGCTCATTTTTTATCCATTTGGCATGAAGAAGATATCATTCAACAACTAAAAGCATGATCTTTCCGAATGTGAAAAAATCTCGTCCGTACGCAGGGTAATTCAGATACAATAGCGCGTAGAAGTTCGATTGCCTTTTTTTTATACACCCTGTATATATACGGAACCGTTTGTCATCTAGGATTTGGTTCGAAGAAAATTCATTTTAGATTTCATTCTTTGAACCCAAGGCCGCTTAAATTACCCTGCCACAATATTTCGCACTGTTTTTACCTCGTTATTGAGCGCGGTTTCTCAATTGGACATTCTACTATCAACTCTCAGTTGCGACTTAAATTAAATCAATTGCGTTGACATTAAGTTAAGACCATACATACACGGTTATATGACTTACCGATTACTTTTGTTTATATATATTCGATTTGTTGTATCCTACCATGTGGATAAATCGATATATGGATAAGTAACGTTGTCCGCAACCAAAGTCGATTTACAAATTACCTCGTCAATATCTGGAAAGAAGTGCAGAGATACAGAGATGCTTACAGTCGTGCCAATAGAAGCGTTCTGAAAAATGTTGACCAATTCATTTCCTAACTTGAAGGAACACCTCTGAACAATTCCTCAACAATTTGATAAGTTCCTTAAAAAGTTCCTAACTTCCTGTTTCATTGACCAATCAAATTTTATATTTTACTTTTGAGCAATCTGATTGGTCAATGAAGCAGGAAGTTAGGAACTTTTTAAGGAACTTATCAAATTGTTGAGCAATTGTTCAAAGGTGTTCCTTCAAGTTAGGAAATGAATTTGTCAACATTTATCGGAACCACTCTCCTCCGCAGAGCCTTACGAATTTTTAGTAAAATTGCGTAATATCAAGGGGGGGGGGACAAATTACGCAAGGTATGATGGGAAGACGGAAGCTACGTAAGGCTCTGCCATATAATATTTACAAAATGGCGTCCAATTAATACAGACATAAGAATACTGAATTATCATGAATTATTCATGTGCAAATAGGCCGTTTCAGGATGCAAACCTAAAGTTTGCGGTGAATAGACGCTTCTCGAATTTGCTTGAGTGCACACGAAACAATAGCTTGGAATCGAGGCGGACAATGTAATCATTGTAAATAAGTAGTTATTTACAATGATTACATTGTCCGCCTCGATTCCAAGCTATTGTTTCGTGTGCACTCAAGCAAATTCGGGAAGTGTCTATTGGTTTGTTCAAAGTGCATTGAGAACAACGAGGAAGTTTTTTGACGATGTTGGACTGAAGAAACGTTTCAAAGTTTATATAAATAAACATCGCTCCTTGAAATTCGATGACAGCATATGCACTCTGGGTGAAACGCTGCATGTAGTGAGACTAGTGAAACAATTGTCGAATCTGCGATTAGAGACGTTATGTAAATATTAAATATATTATTTTTGATTGAATAAAAATACAAAGTATATGTACTGTGAAGTATGTATTCATTGCTGTGTCCCCAGTGTATATGTATTTGATTTGGAAGAGTGTGTACTTTTTATAATTTGCAACTCTTGGATGAACCTAGTTGTTGCAAGGTTGTTGCATGCCTTCTTGGTAGCATAATAAATGGCCATTTATACCACCCAAGGTTTGTAATGTTTGTGTGAATATGTCTACATGCACTGAACTCTGGTAGCTTATATTATCAAAGGTTGCCCGCAGTTATTGGGAGTATAATTTCTGTTGCAGTAACCCTGCCACTTGTACTTTATATGTCTGTCTGTCTGTTTATTTGATGTACTTTATACTGTATCATGGCAAAGCTAATGGGTCATTCCAGAAAACATCCATACCACCCCCAGGGAGGAAATTGGAATTTAATCCTCCTCCCCCCCCCCCCCCCCC